CTCTTAGCTCACAGGTGCAGGGTGAGGACCAACTGCACAGACCCTGTAGCTTGGCTGCCTAGATTGGAATCCTGGCCCCCATAATGAGCAGCTGTGTAATCTTGGTCAAATTACTTAAACTCTCTGTTTTCCCAGGTATAAAATGGGGAACATAGTAGAATAGCATGTACTTCACAATGCTGCAGTGACAGTGGATAAAATGTGAAGTGCTTAGAATGGGGCCCGATGCACAATGTGAGTGTGTGTCGGCTGTGATGTTTTTCTTGTCTTTATCATGACTGAGAGACAGACGCTTGGCAGTCACACCGAGATGGGGTGGGGACAGCCAGAGGTTGTCCTAACTCTGAGTCCAAGTCCCTTGACCTGCCGCCTCCTCCTCCTCCTAGGAGCCCTCCTGAACCCCATTTTCCTCTTCCACTGCATCACCTCCAACATCATCTGCTCCATTGTCTTTGGAAAACGCTTTGACTACAAAGATGAAGAGTTTCTGAGGCTGCAGGACCTGTTCTACCAGTCTTTCTCACTCGTCAGCTCTTTATATGGCCAGGTCAGAGAGATGGAGAGGGACAGGGAGGGTGGATGAGGTGACATCCAGGGCAGGGGAAAGGAAATATTTGGGGGGGGCAGAAATGCAGCTTATGGCTGGAAGAAAGGCAGGGACACGTGGAGAGACAGGGACACTGAGACCTGGGGACAGGGACAGAGAAACTGAGGGAAAGGATGGGGGTGATGGGAGGCAGAAATGGAGACTCAGAGGAAGACTAACAAAATGATGGTTTAGGATAGAGAGAAATGAGTGAAAACAGGACAGGGAAGGGCAGAGATAAGGGAATCCTGAGAAACAGAGTTGATAGTAATGAGTGGGTGGGGGGCAGCGGCTGTGGGTGTGAGGGAGAGAGAGGAGACTGAATCCGACTTTCAGCCTCTCTGCTCTTCTAGGCCCTGATTCCTGTGTCTTTGCTTCTCTGTCCTAGGTAAACACCTCACCTGAGGAAATTCAAGGGTATATCACAATAGGGAACCACATTTCTTCCATTTTCCCATTTCTCCTTCTCCCTGTGTATGCATTTCTTTAAAGAACATTTCTCAGATTATGAAGTTCTAGGCTACTCTTTTTTTTTTCTTCATCTAATGGCAGTGTTTATGATGCATCTCTTTTTTCTTTTACAAGAATGAGTGAATTTTATTTCAGCATATTATGGGGGTACAAATGTTTAGGTTACATTGCCCTTGCCACCCCCCAGTCAGAGCTTCAAGTGTGTCCATCCCGCAGATGGTGCGCATCACACTCATTGTATATGTATATAACCCTTCCCCCTCGCATCTGCCTGAAACCCGATAAATGTTATTCCTCTATGTGTACTTAGGTGTTGATGAGTGAAACAATTTGCTTCTGAGTACATGTGGTGCTTCTTTTTCCATTCTTGGGATACTTCACTTAGTAGAATGGGTTCCAGCTCTAGCCAGGAGTATACAAGAGGTGCTATATCACCATTGTTTCTTAAAGCTGAATAGTACTCCATGGTATACATATACCACATTTTGTTAATCCACTCATGTATTGATGGGCACTTGGGTTGTTTTCACATCTTTGCAACTGTGAATTGTGCCACTATAAACATTCGAGTGCAGATGTCTTTTTTATAGAATGTCTTTTGTGCTTTTGGGTAGATGCCTAGTAATGGGATTGCTGGAT